TTCCTTCCTTTTCTCCCTTCCTCCCTCCCTCTCTTCCCAAGATTGAGAAACACTGGAAAAAAGTTTGGAGAGGGTGGAGAAACCAGCCCCAATGGTTGTTGTGGCAAGTTGCATTCCAGACAAAGAATGGAAATTTGGGGGGGGGGACATGTTGTGTGTGCCTAAGTGTGTTAAACCAATGCAATGTTTACATAGCATTATCTCTGTGTATGTGTGAATAGAGTATGGAGATTCTGTGTTACAGCTCACCAACGCACAAACACACACACACACACACCTGAAAACTCACCTCCCATTTGCTTCCTCAAGGTGGAAGGTGCAAGGTGATCGATCATTGGGAGAGGAAGGGGGAGCAAGCTTGGTGGAGAAAGCAAAAATCTTTTAGATGTGTTTCTCCCAGTGAAGCTCCCGTGTTGTAGGGGTCCTATAGGGCAGGGGTCCCCAAACCCCAGTCTGTGGACCAGTACTGGGCCGCAGCATGCCAGCAACCAGTCCGCACAAACAAGCAAAGCCCCATTTGTGGGATGCAGGCAGCATGCAAAACCACGTCCCCTCTGGTCCACAGAAAAACCTCTCTCCACGGAACCGGTCCCTGGTGCCCAAAAAGTTGGGGACCTCTGCTATAGGGGACCAAGGACCAGACACTGGCTAGGAGGAAGGGGGACTGAAATCAGACTGGATGAACGGAGGGGAAAAGGGGGAAGGGAGACGTGAGCTGAGAGACATGCAGAGGCCCATCAGGCTGGAGTCCAGGCACAGAGGCAATGACAGGTGGGAGGGATCAAAATGAGAAGCCCCTGCCCACTGCTGCCTGCCTGTTGCCCTCTGTGCCTGGAGCCTCTGGCAACTTAAAAAAAAAAGGTCTGGAGATCACCGGCTTCCTTTTTTTCTTCCACCCTCCCCTCCGTTGCCTCTGCTCCTGGTCTCTGGCCTCACACTGAATGGGGAGTTGGCCTGCTGCCCCACGCCAGGCTTCCCCATTCCTTCGTGCCCCACACCAAGCTTCTCCCCCCCCTCCATGCAATCAGAGAAGCCACACCAGCCCTGCCATTCACCTGCCGCCTCACAACACAGCCCCTGCAATCGTCCATCGCATGCTGCCCCCCTGAGAGCAACAGGACTGCTGCCTGCCATCCATCTGATTGGCTGTTGGCTAACTGTCCCGTGCGGCCAAAAGCCCGGGACAAAGGGGGACTCAGCTAATGGGCCGAGCCGAAGGGCATGAGGTGGAGTGCTAGGGGCTCACTGGCCAGGGAAAATGGGTGGGGTGGCTCAGCCAAGGAGGAACAATGCAAGCAAATGGGCGGAGGAAGTAGGCTTGAGGCAAAGGAGGTGTGGCCAAGGGTAGGAGCCTAAAGATCCTATTCTGAGCTAATACTATCCCATAAACATATCAGTGTCCACAGAGATTACATTTGTTTTATCAGCCTTCATGATAAATAGCTATAACTGTGTCTCTCAACCTTGGCAGTTTTCAGAGGTGTGGACTCTAAGGAGGAGAAATACTGCTCTAGAGAAAATAGTACTGATGACTGTTTAAAAACACATATTCTATATCTAAATAACAACACACTCCTGTACTATTGGGAATATGTTGCATTATGATCAATGAGCCAAACAGCCAAGAAAAGTTTGCTTATGGTCTTTACAAATTTTTAAAAGCACTAACTAAATATAGTAAATATTGAAGATTTTTAAAAATATGAAAAATTGTTACCCAAATCATTCCAGGATTTATAGGAATGTAAAAAGTATAGAAAATTAGAGGGGGGAAAACCTGGATATGAATCTGTGCAAAGCCTGAGTGATTGGCCACTATCTGTATTCTACAAGGATTCCTCTAGCTTTCCACTAGCAGATGAAGTAGTTCCTAGTTGACATCATTCAACTAGGACAAGAAGCAGAGGGCCCTGGATGGCTACCTGTCCACCAAACCTATCATTTCATCCATTAAGTGGGCCCCCACTAATGGTTATGTACCAATACATTTATTAATGATGAGGCATAAATCTTTATTAATGTATCATGTTCAACATAAAATTCATTTATGCTGGTGTAGCTTGAATCTGTCCTGATTCTTCAAAACTGGCAGCTTCCATTACACTGGATTTTCTTCCAATTAGAAACACATAAACACAAAATATTTTAATTGTTTTTTACGCCTAAAATTTTAATTCCAAATAAAAATTAATTTCCTTTCCAATCTAGCCTACATTCTGCATAATTTCTAATAACCAGTATATTCCAACTAGCAACTACCTAGGATTAATGAAAGGAAAGGGAAATATTCTAATCTATTAACCAGAAAAATACAGCTTGTTGGTTGTGCATGTTGGGAGTTATTTTTCTTTATGTTATGGCAACATAAACTTTATAAAAGTTAATTTGGAAGATAGGCTACACTGAGTATGAATCAAAAGCAAGTTGAAGTCAGGAGGAAAAATGGGATGCAATATAATAACATATCAATATTCAACTGAGGTTCATCTTAACTTTTTATGGGATTAGAATTTTCTTTAGGAATTAGTTTCAAAAATACCCTTCTGAAAACATTGGGGTTTTGATGTGTGGAATATCCTTGTTTGAGAAAAGAAAAGTAATGTGAGAAATGTGCTTGTCTCTGCAAGATGAACAGCAACATAAGACATCTTGCCCAAATATTGAATGATATCTTCCTCCAGATTTCACAGAACCTCACCAATGCTAGAATACCCTCCACCAAGGCCTCTCTGGATCAGTTATGGTATTTTACTAAATAAATACCTAACTGTATTTTAAATTACCAATGACTCTTTAGTTTCAAACTCACAATGAGATTTATTATCCTATTCACCTGGAAATTATTATATTGGAAAAAGTTGTTTAAATACTGATTGTATGAAAATATCTTGCAGTTCTAACTGTTAATATTATATTTCAAAGTTTATCTCTGACTCTAATCTTAGAACCTAAAATATGTAAAAGGATTGAAAGAAATGAAGTACACAAAAGCGGTAAAAACAACAAGATGGTTGTATAATTTTAGTTATAATAGGCACTTTTGCAAAGTATAAAGATTATCTTCAACTTTCAAGTTTTACAAAAATCTCAGAGCTATAGGTATCAACTTACGGCCACAATTGAGCCCAAAATTTCTGTTAAGCAAGACAGTTGTTAAGTGAGTTTTGCCCCATTTTATGACAGTTGTTAAGTGAATCACTGCAGCTGGTAAGTTAGTAACCTGGTTGTTAAGAGAATCTGGCTTCCCCACTGACTTTGCTTGTCAGAAGGTCACAAAACTAGGAAAAATTGGGAGGCAAAGACAGAGCTGTCTTCTATTTCCATTACATAAATCTTTTCTCTGGAAACTGGCTTTAATGTTCTTTCAATACCAGTTTGTTCCCATTTGCTCTTTATGTCTCCTACTCTATAATTTCTTATCTTTATCCTGTTTGGGATATCTAAAGGAGTTTCAAAAAACTTTCCAAATCAAATCTTCTTTCAGACCTATTAGAATTCCATTTTCTACAAAGCGTTTTTGTTACTTTAGAAGTAAGAAAGATCATCAAAATATTGCCAGAGAAGGATAACTTTTGTAATACTTATTTTCAGTGAATTTTATATCTTGAGGAATGAAATCCTTATCTTACAACGGTAGAAACGAGGATCTCTGAGATCATGAGGTCCTAAATTGCATAATATGGAATGTGTATCTTTTATTACTGAAGCTTTCATTTAGGAAAAAGATAAGGCTGGAAAAAGAAGAGAAAAGCTACAACTAAGGCTTGCTTTTCATTATAAAATGATACAGTACAGGACTGGAAAAGCCTTAAGACATCCTTGTACCTATTTCTAGAGCTAGTCTCAGGGGTCTTCTAGTTCTCCCCTTTTACCATTTATGAATCTCTGATCAGTTTTACGTAATTTCATGAATTTCTAGCATTTGCTTTAGCTTTGGTCCTCTTGAAATTTTAATACGTTTACAATCTAACATTCCATTTTGTATTAGGGGAGTCTAAAGTTTACATAAATTAAATGCACTAAAACTTCATATATGCAATATATCTATCAGAATTAATTTCTGTATAATGATAAATACAGAATGTAGTACCATTCAGAAACCCTGTCCCCCACTATAGCAGATTGTATTCCTTCCCACCTGCCAATTTATGGATTTATGGTGAAATTAAATGGATTCTAAAATCTTAGTAAGAATGGGCATGAAAATTCAGTAATAAAATTCAAAATCATTCAAGTATTCAAATGATGCCCAGTTTAAAAATGCAAACTGCTACTCAGTTATATTTGAGCATTTATTTTCAATGTACTAAAGTACATAAGATTTTTTAAAATTGTGTATTTGGGGTCCTATAGTAGGTTCAAAGAGGCTTTTTTACATTCAGAATATTTAAATCAATAGTCCTGCCACAGTTAAAAAAATCTATTAAGTTTGCAAAAATAAAAAGTTAAGTAACTTGGATTTTACAAATATATATTAATATCCTGTATTTTTTTTTATTAGATTCTTGTTAAACAATCTAGGGCTTTAATTCCTATATACACTTCCAATCCAACTAAGTTCAACAGGAGTTCTATATGCAGAGAACTGTGCTACAAATGACCTCTGAAAGTATCCAAGAATATTGGATTACTTCCATATATACATAATTTTAATAAACGGTTTTACGTGTTAAAATTTAAAAATGTAATCTTTAAGATTATATAAACATACTCATACATTTAAAATGTTAGACATTTTGTCAGACTGAGAGGTAGAATTATTATTAGGATTAATTATGATAGCATATATTTTCTATATTTTAGAAAAATAACAAAATTCAAAATAAAGTATTTTCATGTCAGTGCTTTTTGTGAAATACCTCCTGAACCATAGATATACAACTTGTATACAAAGAAATAAAATATATATAATAGTTTAATAGTTTTCAAATGCTTTGTTACAGACGTTCCTGTTAATAATATAATTATATGGTGGTAAAAGGAACTGAAATCACACAAACCCTTTGGTCCACTTGGTTTCTCAGAGTCATCTTTCCTTCTAGGATCAAACATGCTACAATCTGTACCTGCCCAAGTAGTGTTACAAATGCAGGTGGCTTCATTACTGCACACCTAAAAAAAAAAAGTGGGCATATATTAGCGTATCATTAAAATGGTGCCTTGGAGGAGACAGAGTAGAATAAGGCAGTGTTTCCCAAACTTGACAATTTTAAGGCATGAGGACTTGAACTCCCAGAATTCCACAGCCAGCAACGCTGGCTGTGGAATTCTGGGACTTGAAGTCCACATACCTTAAAATTGTCAAGTTTGGGAAACACTGGAATAAGGGCTTCTGTTTGGAGAACGGTGCACTGATGTCATTGAATAGCTACATGCTGCCAGAGAAACAAAGACCTCTCATCATCAAAGGAGAATCTGGCCTGCCTCAGTGTTCCTTTGGAAGCACATGCACCTGTATATGATTGCCCATATAGAAATACACAGCAAGGAGCAATTAATGGCTTATAAGTTAAAATGCTTTCATTCTAAAACAAAAAAAAAATCTCAGCATTTTTCTGAAATCACAGCTGAAACTAGGTAAACAAAACTGTTCCAAGCTTTTGGCATTTGGATCCCCAAAAGTTGTCCCGCATATATCCGAATTTACAGCCCAAATGTTGGAGATGTGGAAGTTTAGTGCAAACTATTTTCACATTTGGTGGACTTGTAGAGATATAAAAGCTTTTTGGATTAAGATTTGGTGGAATATTCAAAAGATTTTTAAGAGAAAGATAAAGTTTACTCCACAGTTATTTTTGTTGGGTATTATTGTAGATTTTGATGTTAAAGAAATCAATTTGATGTTGAATCTTATAACAGCTGCAAGATTATTGGTGGGGCAATATTGGAAGAAAAACTCACTGCCTACCATGGAAGAATGGATACTTAAGGTATCTAGTTTAGCAGAAATGGCGAAAATCTCCACCTACTTGAAGGACCATTCACAAGAAAAATATATTATGGTTTGGAGAAGATGGATTGATTATATTCAAAAGAAATATGAAACTGAAAAGTATTATCTTGCATATGAGTAGATTTTAGATAATCATTAATAGCTTTAATTATATTATTATTTTTGTTTTAATTTGTTAATATTTGTTTTGAAAAGGAGTTAAAGTGTGTTATGGTTTTGATTGATAGTATAGTTGGTTTATATTAGTTAGATTATGTTTGTTTATTTGTTACCCTGTAATCAGCTCTGGGAAGTGGGGAAGGGGTGGGAAGGGTTTATATTGTATTAAATTTGTAAAACTTTTAATAATAAAAAAAACTGTTCCAAGCTTTGTGTATTTTTGATTGTCTATAGGTAGCCTGAAGAACCACTGTATACTTTCATAAGCAAAAAGACAAATTATTTTAGGAAAAAACATTGTCATATCAGAAAACGTAACATTTCAATGTGATTTTAAGTAAAATGTTAATCCCATTAACTATTCAGATAATCACATAAGAAACAAAAATAATTTATTGTAATAACAAAAAAAATTAAATGTGTATGCTGCCTGAGTCTCAAAGGGTCACAATAATATCTCACAAATACAGAGACCGTAGATATTTATAGCTCAGAGCTGAAATGAGGAGTCCTTGGTGCTCTCTGAATTTGGTTGTTTTCTTGCAGACATTTCATTACTCAAACTAAGTAATATCATCAATGGTCAATGAAGGTAATTATTATTACCTCATTCGAGTAATGAAACATTTGCAAGAAAACAGCCAAGCTCAGAGAACATCAAGGACACCTCATTCACATTTCTTGACATTCACATTTCTTGACATTCACATTTCTTGACCCAGGCTCAAGAAATAGGATGGATACTGATATACTTCCCACTGGCTTAATATTTTTAGATACTCCAGTGTGAGCATCAAAAAGTGAAAAAGAAGAGTTGCCATTTTGCAGCTGGGAATATTCTAGCTAGGAAAGAAAAAGGAGATGGTAGTTCAACAAGATCTTCAACAAAAAAGCACCGTTCACATGCTACTAAGGAAACATCAAGAGCCAGTTTGGTGTAGTAGTAAAGCATCAGGCCTGAAACTAAGAGACCATGAGTTCTAGTCCTGCCTTGGGCACAAAGTAAGCTGGGTGACCTAGGGCCAGCCACTTTATCTCAGCCCTAGGAAGAAGAAAATGGCAAACTACTTCTGAAAAACTTTGTCAGGAACATGTAGGGACATGTTTCAGGCAGTCTCAAAAAACAGCTATAATTGAATGGAGGAGGGGGAGGAAACATTGTTATTCTTTAGATTTGTCTCATATCAGTTTCACCCAAGTGGTACAATCTATGCCCCACAGAGGGGAAGGGGATGAATTATAGTTACCAGATATACAGTTGAAAGCTATAGTTCAACTGAGGATAATCCTTTGCATATAAGTGTGCCAAACTGAGTTCTGCATGTAACTCTGTTAATTATGGTTCTATACAATATTTCTATTTTATATCTTTATAAAACAATCTTTTTCTATTCCAAATAAACAATAGTAGTAAATATGCCAGGAGTAAATAGTAGTAGTAGAAGAAAAGATCTCCAGGCATGGCTAAATTAATGAAAGTTAAACAATGAGATGAAGGGACAAATTCTTATACATCCTATCAGGAATTTATGCTTCCTGTCTTCATATGTAAAGATATCCATACAGATTAGAAGTAAGAAAAATGGTTTTCTATGAAATAGGTGTCTCACATATTCTGCTGACCTGGGACTTACCCCATGTCCCGAACAAACTTTTCCATTAGCATCCATAGGACAGCTGCTTATGTTCAAGGACTGAATAGAGAGGCATCTTCGGTCCATACACATCATATTAGGACCACAAGGAGTCCCATCTTCTACATATCCTAAATCTGTTTCATCATCTAAAAGTACATGCGCACAACTACAAGAAGAAGTTTTAAAAAATGTTACCAACATTATTAAACTTCATCAGAATAAACAGATGTAAAATATTCATAGCATGCATAACCTGAAAATCCAGGAAGCAAAATAATATGATTATTTTTTCACTCTATTTATGGATGTTTGCTGTGTTGGAAAATTTTGTGTGTCCAAATAAGAAACAACTAAAATAAAAGAAAAATTAAAATTAATTAATCAATACTGAAACAATGAAATTTCAAATTATCTCAATGAAGTAATAGAATAATTTTGCATTTGTATTAAACAACCTATTCAGATGCCAGTACAATGAAAAAAATCATAAAAATTAAAATCAACCAGAACCTATTAAATGTGGTTTTAATCTAATTTATTGAGAAACAACCTATTTGAATGTGCTTTTATGTTCAAATTTTTAGGTAAACTGAAAAAGCCAGTGTTGCACAATGAATCAGTTTTTACATACCTGCAGTTCACTACAACACCTTGGTGGAAAAAAGAAGTTGGAATAATTTCTCCCTGAAGGTGACCAATTCGTGGAACCCCATCAAGATTTGCACAAAGCAATAATCCACAGAACACATCGCTGTAAGACAAAGTCAAGATACATAACAAGCTATTTTGTAGACTGGGAAGAGAAAGACTGTTTGGACAAATTAGGAAACTTGCCTCTAGGGAAAAATACAATCCGGACTGCACTGTAGCAGAATTCCAATTCCATTTAAGAATCAAATTCTAAACTGTGAGAAATAATCATGCTACACATTTACTTCTAGACTGCAAGTTGTCCAAATGCTAAAAATTATCAGGCATCGCTTTGGTTTCTGAAAGATTATATTTAAACATAAATAAATAAACACCAAAAAATAAATAAGCAAGGGCTACGAGCCATTAGGAACCTGAAAAATAAGAACGTATCAAATGAGAAAATGTGTTACCATTCAAGCTCTTATTGAGCTGAAAATGATGATGTGAATTTAAAAAGGGCCTTGAGTGAGTGTAAAAATGCTTCTCTGTTCCCTCAGTTTCCATCATACAGTATCCCATGTTATCTTCGAGGGTCCCAAGACTTCAGTAGTACCTTCTGTGGGAAGCAAAGGTGTCTGTAATAAAGTGGGAAATTCTGCTCCTGTATCTTTCAGGCCAAGTCATTTTAAGAACAACTGAATCCAGCATTCTCAAACTTACTGTTTGTGGCAAGGAATCCATTTGTCTCCGTCTTTTCCACAGTTCCCTTTCTGTGTACCTTCTGTATTGAGCTTCTCGTAACAGTGTTTGTGAGACCCTGAAGCCTCTGTGGAAGAAGATAAGATAATTTCCAATAATGCTCAAAATGGTTTTATTCACTTTTGGTTCCAATGTTTAACCCTGCCACAAATAATCCTACTATAGTTAGCTACGAAAATACTATGAACATAATAAGGATGCTTAAAATGTTCTTTCTCTCTCTCCCCTTTTCTCTCAGATGACAATGCATTTTCTATATTCTTCCAAATGATGTTTTTTTTTGTTTTGCTTTTTGTAATTTGTTTTTTTTCCCCAGTGTTTTATTGCTCACTATACATTTAAATAAATTAAAAATAAAGAACCAGATAGCAGTAATAATCAGTAGTAATGTATTATATTATTTCCTTTTTAAAAAAGTAAACATCCCTAACAATTTCCATGCGCATTAGAAATTTACTCCTTGTGTCTGGGATATAAGATTATAAAAAACTATATATTGACTCAGAAAAACAAAACAAAAAAAAAGAGTTATTTTCCTAGTATAATCAGGAGGTCTGGAAGATACTTCGTTTTGTCAAGGACAAGAAATTTTACTAAATCTTGTATGTTTGCGATTTTTTTTTTAATTTGCAACTAAGAGGGGATTTATTTGGGAATATTTTATGGGGGAGAAGATATTTTATCCTCCGATTCTGCCAAAGCTGTGGTCTAGATCTGTGTAACATTTTTGCAGGGCAACACAGTTCTTCATTCAGATTCATCAACCCCTATTTTCAAACACAATATAGCCAAATTGCATTGATCCTGATTGATTTTTGAGAATAGGGCCTGTTCCCAACATGCTGGAACACCCAGAGACAATAGAGGATAATATGGATCATATATATTGAGAGAGAGAGGGAGAGGGAGGGAGAGAGGGAGGGGAGAGGGAGAGAGAGAGAGAGAGCTTTTTAAATATCAACATAGGGTGGAGAAAATTAGTATTAAGTCTTCACATATAAATTCTGAGTAAAAGTGCATTAAAGGCCTTTACAAATTAGCATTACTTTTTAATTCATTCACAACATAGTAAGAAGTGGATAGAATGTGCTGAGAAATATTTTTGTATAAATTAACTTACTATTGCCCCAGATGTATTTGCACTGATTATCTCTTGTCTTACACTCTCCATTGTAGCAACGTCCCTAAATGGGAACAAATTATAGTCAGAAACATACAATTCTTCTTTCTTCGTAAAAAGCCAGATATTACCATGAGCTTTGTCCTTTTTGCTAGCAAGGAACAAACTTTTTTTTTCTAATAATACTGCTTGGCTTGGCTTTCAAGATAGCAAGGATGCTTGAAATTATTTTCTTTTCACCAGGCTAATAAAATGTTAATATAACTTTATATTTTGCTTCCATAAGATTTGAGAGTTTTATCTTTAAGACATTAGAATATGTGACAAAAAGCAGTTAGGTTGCTTTTTAAACTCGAGCCTGAATCTATACATCCCAAGGTTGCAAAGCAGAATTTGAAAGAAGGTAAAAGTTGCAGCATAGAATTCCCAGCATAATGAAGTAAACTCAGAGGATATCAAACAGAGTTTAGAATATTATCCTAGTAACTGCTTGAGAAGAAATAATGCATGCCGTCTCCAGTGAATCTTATATTGGATAGAATATTACACAAAGAAATGGCAGAAGAAAATTATTTACTTAAATAGTTCCTATATTTAAAGAAAGCATTTTGAAGCTTAAAGTAGCTAATAGCCAAATAACAATTAAAACAGCATAAGCCATCAAACAAAAAAGGGAAAAAACATCCAAAAAGTAGTATTGCCCATCAAGAAAGGGGGAAAAACACTGTAAAAAGTTTTTATAACTTAAGCAGGATCTATGCTGAAGCCTTTCTGACAGTGGAGCATAACAATGGCAGCATGCAACAGGCATCAATGATATGCATAAGGTGACCATGAGGCATATACCTCATAGCTGTGGGGGAGAAAGGAAGAGGAGGAGGAGGAAATACCATGTACCTGGTGGCACTACGTTTTATGGCACCAACCGCTATATACTCTCCCCCCACACACCCTTTATTTTTAAACCAAAATTTCTGCTTGCAAAAGATGTTATTCTGAATAATTTATTCAGTCATTCATAACTGATACAGTTTCAAAAAAAATCACTTCCTTAATAGCCATCCAGTCTGCACCCATAACCCTTGTGTGCATCCTCGAATGACATCCTGTGAAGTGAAAATGAGAGTACTGCAACTTACAAAAACACTGTCCTGATGTTTTCAATACACTTATAGGCTAAGCTCGTGCAGGCTCAGTTTTAACTTACCTGATTTGAATCACAAGCAAATCCATCTTGCTTATGAAGATTTGGTGGGCACTGAAAGGCAAAGTATTCCTTTACTTTAAAACTGTGGAATTATCCCTTAGAATTTACTTGCATTTTCGGTTCACGTAGGTTTTTGCTGGATGGTGACCATCTAGACATATGGGTAGACAGTTATCTAAAAATCAGATGCTACCCAGCAAGGTTAAACCCTTCTGCGATGGACATAACAAGGAGAGATTCATAACCCCAAAATTTCTTGATTTAAAAGTGTTTTTGTAGCTACCATTAGATACTTGTAGGTTCAGTTGTTTTTTATCAGTTTTAGATATACATAGCAATAGACTTAGACTTATATACCATGTCAGAGTGCTTTATAGCACTCTCTAAATCAGCATGCCCCTAACAATCTGGGTCCTCTTTTTACCAACCTCAGAAGGATGGAAGGCTGAGTCAAACTTGAGTCGGTCAGGGTTGAACTCCTACTATGGGCAGAGTTAGCCTGCAATATTGCATTCTAACCGCCATGCCACTTGTGCTCTTATCAACATATCTTTCAGACAGTCTGGCTTTGGTAACTGCCGCCTGATTAGGCTACTATGTCTATTTTGCATAGGTCTGCCTTCAGAACCACCCCAGGAACTTCTGTTGTCCTAAAATAGGGCCGTAAAATGACTAATTGAAACCGAGTATTTTGATCAAATTATTCCAGTGTTTAATAGATTAATAGCCAATTTAGGACTTCTGCATAAATACTTATCTGAAGCTTACTTAAGATAACTTTGGTGGTCCCTTCTGTAGGCCATTACCAAATATAATTGTATAGGTAGTTACTAGCAAAGATCGTACTTACAAATGTCACCCTAGGGAAGACTCTAATTAAAAAGGCACCTGCTGGTACTCTTTGATCACTTTTTCAGTGAAACCTGGCCTTATTAAATAATTACACATCTTATTTGAGAACTGAGGATTTTGTTATGTTTTATTTTGTTAGAAAGAGTCTTTAATTACTACTGATACAAGTTAATCTTATTTTATTCCCATCCAGAAAGCACATTTGAATGATTGGTCATGTAAAAATGATAGGTAAGTACATAATCTCCTGTATTTAGATGATTACTTAATTTGATTAAATTCCTTAAAGAGATATCCCTTTTAAAAACACTTAATTATGTTGAATGTGAGTTAAACTCCAAAGGTAATATCAAAATAGGAATACTTCTTATAAAACATTGCCTGATATGACACATGTCTTTCTCCATAGAATAATTGTGTTTAGTCAAAGAAAAATGAATACATATTAAATAGAAGAATGCTGTATTCTAATTGTTTTAAAGGCTGTTTTAAAGAGAGAGCTCAATATATATATACATACATACATACATACACACACTGAAATCAAGAATCTGAATGAAAGCTCTTTGCTGAGATCCCAAATTGCTCTCCACAAATGGAAGGATTCTTTCTATCAAAAAAGGTTACACAGCACTATACAAATTTTTGCTTATTCCTGTTTCCTCCTGCAACCCTTACTGCCACAGCTTTCTGGAACACATTTTGGAGGGGTGGGCAGAAAAAGGAAGAGGCAAAAACTCCCCCTTCTATCCTTGTAATTGCCTTATGTTTCTTCCACAAGAATTTGTAATCCCAAACATTAAAGAAAATATATGGATCCTAAATCTAAATCATTTGGGAATATGTATATCAGCACAGCTTAGGTTTTAGACATAGAAAGCTAATTTTCTCCACCTTTGTCAAAATCAAATTTTGGTTCTAGTATTGTTACACAAGAGAGAGGGAAGGAGATCACCTGACTGATAAATCAACATGTAACATATTCAAAATACATTATGTCATTACCTGGCCGGAGTCACCAGTACAGATTTCTGTAATATCACATTCATTCACTGCATAGCGACACTCAAAGCCACGTGGAAAAAACTGAAAGTCAAAAGATTTTTAGTTATAAAACAGTTAAATAACAACCAAGCATTCAAGACTTGTTTTTTAAAAAAACCTAAGCCTTTTACTGGGTGAAAAAAATGATATATAAGTATCATTTTCATTCATTGGTAGGAAAGCAATGGGGGGGGGAAATGATATGTTTTTTAGTGGAAACAGTTAAGTTGTGGTATCTCTTTATCCAGGATCCTTTGATTCTAACAGTAGCTCTGTTTTTTATTTTTATCTTATGGAATTACATTTTCTAATTCAGGCCATTTGGTAAAGATGCAATTAAAATAACTTACAAGGCAGGTTTCATTACAACATGGACCATCACTGCAATGAGCTCCATTAGAAAGGGAACATTTTTTACAGCAGTCTACATGGCAGTCCTAAAAAAATATATATTGTATATTAATGATTATTATTTATTTATTTAGCATATGGCATATCATTCATAGACTATATGTTTAAAAGATCTATGTCCAAATGCCAATGTCTATGCCATCTAATCACTGAAGTGTAGCATTGTTTAAATTAAAAAAAAAACCAGATACTGGACCGGTCTATGACCTCAGCCTATAGCCGATCACAATATGATCTATAATTTGACATGGAATATGAAGCTAGTTTGCCTCCTTGTGATTCACCTTGGATAACGCGACAGCGTGAACTAAACAAACCAGCAACTCTGTAAACTTTCTTGGCTCTAAAAGTACATAGCAACGAAAGCAAAAACAAAAAAACAGACCTTTTCAGGTCCAAATGACAAGAAATAGAGGAAATATTATTTGAAATTTGCCAAATCAATGCTGAGAGGCTCAGCAGATCCAAAAGCCAATATGTTTCCAAACCTTTATTGGATAGTAACATATTAATGGTAAATAATAATGATAAAAGTTAAATGAAAGTATTCAATGATTCACTTCCCCTGACCAAACTTTATGTGCAAAACTGAGAAGGGATGAGTCCTTTCGTTAGTGCACTTTTAGAATATGTTGTTAAATGATGGAAGATCCTCCAGAACAAAGTGTCAAATTGCACCAGTGGCTACAGTGGGAAAAGCGCATAGAAAGTACTGGTCCATGGATAGATGTCTACTTTTGTACATATGATTCCTTGCTTATACCTACACATTTGCAATATCAGTGACATGTTTCTTTATTAAGTTTTACTGATTTATTAGATTTGTACTTTGCCACAATCTGACACACTCTGAGGTTGAAATTGAAAGTATCCCTGTACTAAATACAGGTAGTCCACGACTTACAACAATTCATTTAGTGACCGTTCTAAGTTACAACAGCACTGAAAAAAGTGACTTATGACCGTTTTTCACACTTATGCAAACTTCTGACATGCAAAGTCAATGGGGAAGCCAGATTCACTTAAAAACCATGTTACTAATTTAAAAACTCCAGTGATTCACTTAACAACTGTGAAAAAAATGCCTGTAAAATGGGGCAAAACTCACTTAGCAAATGTCTCACTTAGCAACAGAAATGTTGGGCTCAATTGTGATCATAAGTCAAGGACTACCTGTAATATCACACCAAACAACAACTGAGAATAAGATATCTTATGTGCCAAATACATTCTAGAATGTTAAACCAAAATTATTAGTATAATAAATATTCAAAATGCTGATTATTTTTCTTAAAGCTCAAAATCCCCAGATTGCAAGATGATTTTGTTAACATCGGGCCATGCTATTGGTTGAAATATTTACATATATAAGTTAAGTGAAGATCAGAAACACAGCTCTAATTAATTAGGAAAGAAATACAAAGTAAGAAAGAATGAAAATTAGAATTAAAACTCTTCTCAGCCTTACACGAAGCAAAAGACAACTCTCCAAATGAGAGTTCTGATGATCTCCACTTCTGCTGGGATGATCTCAAAGGGATCATCCATCACTCCCTTCTTTATTATTTTATGTCCTATGAAAATAAACAGAACCTTATGAGTAATTATCTACTTTTCAGCTTTCATTTTAAGATGAAAATACTACCGTTTGGATACCACAGTCACAGTCTTCGCCTGGTTCCACATACCCATTTCCACATTCAGTGGCATCAAATAACTGAAAAAAAAACACATTTAAAAAAAATGTTAGGATCTAGCTACCATTAAAAGATTCAGATATATATTTAAGTGCCAAATACTTGTGCATTACTGTTCTGAAGCTGATTATCAGATTTCTGCTGGAGATTTTTCTCAGGACTAATTTAATATAGAGAGCAAAACTTCAGAGGAACTGCTCTACTGACTTGGAACTTGTTCTTCTCATTGTATTTATCTGGTTCTTCCATCTTCTATTCTTTGGATGGATTGGTCAAACAGCCAGATGCTGGATAGATGCTATTAAGATAGTAATATCCATCTTAAAAGAAAGAGATACTTTTACGTGGTAAAAATAGGAATGCCGAAAGAGGAATGCCGCAATAAGAAAGCCTCTAAAAGCTTAAAGCACCCACCGAAAGAGGGAGTTGTTAGTTTAAGTGGTTTCTTAAAAATAAGGATATTGCAGGTTAAGTAAGTTTAGTGAATGCTCTTGAATCCAAAGCAAAGATATCTTGTGCTTTAGGAGTAAAGTATAATTCCTGGAAACCCTCTTACTTCCTAGATATAATTGCAGGGTTGGTTCAATTTTACATCTGTTACAAAGTGAAATTTCCTTGATAAGCGCGAATACGTAACACATAAGGCCATCGGGACAATATTCTTACTCTATACCTTGTATTATTTGCACTTATGAAAGATTGTGAATTTGACTGAATTGAGAAACAGCTCATCCCTAAATGATACTAATCTTAATGCACAGTTTAGAATAAAGTTGAATAACAGAAGATTTTGTCAGGCTGAGGTCTTAATCACCCCTCTCATGATTCTTCTTTTTAGCTAGGAATGTTAAAAGACTGGGTTCTATCATACTAACATTAATTCAAAGTTTATACCAGTAGCCAATTTGAATTCTGAGAGCTTTACAGTTCCCACAGGGAAATAATTGCCTGCTCACAAATGGAGCATTATGACATAGTCAATCACAAAAGAAAATATGAGCATGGAGTTTGGATGGTACAAGAAATAGCAGACTATTCCTCATTCTTAGGTTAAAATGTTAAAGGATGATACTTACAAGTTGCTCTTTCATCCTTATAATGCATAACATTTAGCTTTTAAAAAAACTAGAGCTTTTGAACAAGCTATAGTATCCATATTACATATAAACATCATGCAAACCAAAATCACAACCACATAATGGTCTTGACCGGTATTAACACATTTGTCAATCATCGATACATATTGGCTTTCATTGTACTCTATCATCACAGATGAAATTGATCACACAGAGTCAAATTCCCATTCAATTGTGGGTCTCACTGTAACTTAAACCACAGTGTTGTTGTGAGGTTAAAATCCTGGGGTGAGGGAGAAACCACCTGAAGGTCCTGAACTAAGTTGAAATACAAATGAAATTTATTATTTATTGTTTTTTTCTGTTATTATGCTAAACCAAGGTGTAAGTTAGAGCAGGAATGGTACAGATAGCTTTCGACTTATGACCATTTACTTAATGATAATTTGGAGTTATGATGGCATTGAAAAAAGTGACTTACGATTGCTTCCTCGCATTTACAACCATCGCAACCTCCTTGCAGTCATGTGATCAAAATATGGGTGCTTGACAACAGACGTATACTCATGACAGTTGCAGTGCCATTTGCAATTTTCCCAGGGGAGCTTTTGACAAGCAAAATCAATAGGGGCAACCAGATTCACTTAATGATTACCGTACTTTCCGGCGTATAAGACGACTTTCTAAAGCGTTGAAATCGGCATTGAAGTCAGGGGTCATCTTATACGCCGAGTCATCTTATACGCTGGAAATTATGGTAGTTTCCGGCGTATGACTTTCTAGGCATGCAACTCGGCGCCGAAGTCGGGGGTCGTCTTATACACCGGATTGCCTTATATGCCAGAAAATACGGTATGTGATTTGCTTAACAACAGTATGGTTTGCTTAACAACTGTGGCAAAAATCAGGTGTGACTCACTTAATGTGACCAGACGTTAGTAACAAAAATTCTGGTCCCAATTGTGGTCATATGTTGAGAACTACCTGTAGTAAGCAAGAAGAGATGACATTCCCCCCCCCCTTCTGTTCTCCATTTCATTCCCAATTCACTCAAAATGTACCATCACCCAGTTTGCTACCTTCATCAAAGGATTATAAGGAATGCACCTTTGTAGGCCTGTTGAAAAGACAAAAACCTCCTCCTCGGAGTAAAAAATCTCTGTATTCAGCAATGCTGCACTTTGAGAATTTTCTGGAGTGATAGACACTGAAAGAAAACAACAGCAAAATGTTAGAGGAATGGTTCCTGGCACAGCCATAAAGAAATATCTAGTTTTTTAAAAAAGAAAATAGATCAGTACAGTAGTATACTTTTGCAGCAGATTTTAATAGTTTAATGGTTCAGTTCAATTTTCTTAATGCAACCTTTTCATATTTTACACAGATTTTTGGTAGTACTTTATTTCAGACAAAGATGGACATTATGCTAGTCAAACTGGATTAAGCGCCTCACTCTCTATGCTTTTTGACCACACAGAAATATTTGTAATCTTTATTTAGGGTTTTGTTTTGGCACTATGAAAAACAATTAAAATTGCCTACATTTTTGTGTGCAAACTGACAAACCACAAATGGAATATTCTGTATTTTGGACTGACTTTGAAGATATTTCAGAAACATTGTTTTCTATAGAATTCAGCCATCATAAAATTTGTAGAAAAAACAGAGCAATCACATTTTACCAATTCAATGTTATTTTATTTGTTTCTCAGTTTATTTCAAGGATCAATGATGGTCAATGTCCTATCTGAAAAGATCAAATTTGCGCCATCACAAATAACAAATTTTGAATAGTGATCCTCCAAGTATTTAAATTGGTCTCAGCTATTTTAAATAAAGCTCTTTCACTGAACTCTTTAAAAAAAGTCACACAAAATTTGGAGTCTGTAATTTGAAAAGTAATCTTACCTTCCCCCCCACTATTTTTAGTGTAATTGCTTTTACTGAAGCTCCACTTTTGAGAAAATAAAACAGTTTACTTGAAACTATTTACACAAATCAGAATAAATACTCACGTGAACATTTAGAAAATTTAATAAAAAAACAAGTCAATATTCAATTGAATTCACTTGACCCTGTAGCGTGGTTAATATCACACAGAGACAAATGGTAGCAAAAGGCATCTATCCTTGCAATTATGCACTATTATAAGCAAGTGAGAAAAAACAAGTTATTTGATGTAACACTGTTTCTGATTTAAACTTGTTTTTTTACTTTTAAAATTATACACATTTCCTATGATCCTCTCTAATTTTTTATCGTGCAAAGATAAGTGACATAAGAGAAACAAACAAGATTTAAAGTAAAAAATCTTGAAGGTGAAAAATTATTTGTAAAATACATTTACATGCATAGTTTTATAGGTTTTAAAAAAATAACTGAAATAATTTTTCCCTTCATGGTAACAGAAAACAATAAAATGAATAATGTGTTGGTCTGAGCAAAATTTAAACAATAATTGAACTGTGTATAAAGAATCAATTATCACTACAAACCCTGTTTCCTCCATGATGCATCCACCCCAGGATTCTGTACAATCACACCCTTCTTAAATGATATAAAAGAAAGAAAGGGAGGGAGGGAGGGAGGGAGGGAGAGAGAGAGAATAAAATTAGTTGACAATATGTACAACAAAATACACCATAGAGAACAAATACAGTAAGTTTTTTCACTGTTTCGAAGTCTGCATTTTAAATAGTACATCCAATAAGCATAAAAGAATTCCCTATTCATCTGAAAGACTGCAATAAGTAAACTAATCTCTTCCCAACAAAGAAAAAGTGAAGACACTCTACATATGTGGATACGTAGACATGCATGATTAAGAGATTATGTGTCATCAAATTATTTTTGACTTTTGAGCATGCATGACCAAAAATGATACCTGGACAGAGAAGACTAGTTGCTTGAATTGACTTAAAAGATTCTTAGACAACAAAGTAGTTAGTTCTATTTAGAGAACATAAAACTATACAAACATTTAGTTTGATACTAGGAGACTTAGCACATACTTGGTTTTCTGGATGCTGGCTCCCATTGTATCCCTAGATTCTGAGCCAAACTTTGGGACAATTCTTGTGCTATTGCCCAGGAAAGCCCATACTGTTAGGAAAAGATATCAACATCAATTAAATTAGGGTGAAAAAAGAGGTAAATGCAGATTATTACAAGTTTAACATAAAGCTGCCATAACAAAATGTTGTAGACATTTTTATTTTGTTTTGTTTTAACTTTATTTTTATTTTTAATGTGTTTCTATTTGCAATTCTGGTTACTGACCATAATAAACATTCTATTCTTTTGTATATAACTTAACCTACATCCTAACATTTCTGTGGAAATAACTTATTAATTTAAACAGAGTTTATTTCTAAGTACATGCAACACTATTTCTGTTACTATTCAACAGGGATGTCAAACTGCCAGCCTGCAGGCCAGATGCATCACACCGAAACTGCGCCCACCCCATTGCCGGAAATGGGGAAAAAGTCGCAATACGTCGCGTGAACTTACACATAATGTCACAAGTTTGACATGCCTGGTATACAACAAATACATGTTTTCTTGAATTTAAACAATCATAAACAAACTTTGCCCTGATAAATGAGAAGAAATACAACTAACATGGAGAATAGCTACTATTCACCTCCCAGAATTGGCTTTCCTGGTACTGCTATTAGAAATAGGCTTTCTGTGAAATAAACTCACTATTTGAAGGATAAAAAGAGCAGATGAGGCATAAAATATGAACAGAAAAGTACAAATATAATAACAAAAAAGGAAGAAAAAACAGGCGAAACAAAAAAACCATATAGTCAAGAAAAAGTAGTGACTAGACTCTGTCCTAGGATGTTCTTGGGTGAGAAGCAAAATGTCTTCAAGGAAAAAACAGTCCAGTTGACTTTTGAAAAAAGCATCTTTAGAACAATCATGACCTAGATGACTGAGAATCTCCATACATGTTATATTTATTTATTTACTAGCTGACCCATGACCTGTTGGATCATATCAGAGATATTTTCTTACCAAAATCAATGAACAGAATAATCACAGGCAGGCAAAAAAAAAAAAAAAAGCAGTGGAAGTAATTTCTGACTTCCTGCCAGCTTCCCCATTGGCTCTGCTTGAGAGAAGCTAGCAGGGAAGGTTGCACATGGTAATCATGTGGTCCTAGAGTGCTGCAACAGTTGTAAGTGTAAGTGTGAGCTGGTTTCCAAGCTTCCACTTCACAATTACATGACCATGGCGACGGGGGGGGGAGGGAATGCAACAGCCAAGTACCATTTGTTCAAAGTCATTGCAACTTGGAATAGTTGCTGAATGAGTGGTCAAGAATCAAGGACTTCTTATATATTCATGAGACTTTATGAATTGGGTAAATAAATACATTTCTTCAAAACAAAACTATTACCTCATTTACTCCAACACCTCTAGCCACTGAACAAATTCCTCCAAAATAGCTTAGGCTACTTCTTTTATAATGAAATGTCACATTCCTTCAGAACAAAACAGATAAAAAACAATATTAATAGCATTATCTTCAAATGAAATAGTATAACATAAATTATGAGAACACTGGGTTTGTTTTAGTCAGTTTCTTTAATGTCATTGAAGGAGAATATTCGTAGATGGTTACTCATAGTAATTCTGTCAAGTGCCTTTGCGTTTTTTTAATGTTGTCTTTATTTATAAGTAACTCAAGGTGGTGAATGTACCTAATACTCCTCTATCTCCTACTTTCCCCATAACAACAATCCTGTGCCATGGGTTGGACTGAGAGAATAATTGGCCCAAAATCACCCAACTAGTTTTTGTGCCCAAGATGGAACTAGGACTCATAGTCTCCTGCTTTCTAGGCCAGCACCTTAATGATTACACCAAACTGGCAAGGATTAAATAACTTATTTCCAGTTTTTGAAGATACCATAGGAATAAATGAGCCAAAATGTAAAAGTGATAGAATATACAGGAAAATATCCTACCCAGAAAAAAAGCTTCCTGAGATAACATTTTTCTGAATAAGATATATCCCTGTACTGTACAGAAATAATTCTTGACAGTATTAATTTTGGATACAATTAATCAAATTATAAAACAAAGAAAATATTCTGATCAATTAAGCTCTAGTTTTGACACTCAAAAGGCTGATATAATGTTTAAAAGAAAAAGTGGTTCTAAAAGTATGAGTAATCTCAGATGGATTACTCATAGTAATTCTGTCGACTGCCTTTGTGTTTTTTTTAATCTTGTCTTTATTGATAAGTAAACTCAAGGTGATGAACATACCCAATACTCCTCTATCTCCTATTTTCCCCATAACAATTCTGTGAGATGGGTTGAACTGAGAATAATTGAACCCAAATCACCCAACTAATTCATTGGGTGAGTCAAGACGTGCTGTATTTAATAACACCTGAGAATGAAATGACTACAGATCCTTAAGCCTCTTAAGAAGAACAGAGAACCATCACTCCTCTTTTTACATACGAGAGGAGATGTACAGCATCAGCACGTTGCTTGATGAAGTTCTGTCGATATCGGGAAAAATCATGAAGCATCTGCCGTGGATCCGAGTGGACATGAATGCGATCTCTGTCTGACCAGGTTTCAACGGCAACTAGAACAACTCTGGTGTTTAGTTGCTCCTTGTAAATCTGTGGGGAGAGACAGGACAAGCACAGGAGTGGAACACTGGGTCAAACATGCACAATTAGCCAATCAATGAGTGGAAAGACAAACAGGGTAAAGTAGGAAAGAAACATTGGAATATAATTAGATATTATACTTCCCTAATAATCAATACTCCATTAAATTTACAGTAAAGTCAAAATACTGCATAATTATCAGTATATCATTATATAGTATTTACTATATAGTTTGTGGTAGGAAATCATAAAAATAGTTGAGAATGGACAGACCTCATGCTTGTGAGGTTTTGTTTTAATTGTAAGAATTTTAATAATTTAATTTATTTTATAATTTAATTTAATAATTCTGAATCCAGGTGCCTGAAGTGAGCACAACAAGAATCTGTTGTTCCCCAAACATCTTTAACTGGATGCTCAGAACTTTTTTTCTGCTTGAATTCATGAATATTTCCTCAATAAAGTCATTCATTCTTCAAACTGCATTTCTAGCAATCATAATCTTCATTAGGTAGGTAGGTATTTTGTCCTGTGATTCAGTTATATATTTTGCACAACAAGGAAACATCACAGATACATCTTCTGTTTAAACAAATAATCCTCGGTTTTATTTTTCAAAGAATCGTCCCTACCTTCATTTTGTCAGGCCCATTTCATAATAGGACTAGAATGGGCACAATGGACATGCACAAAATAATTCTTTTTTTTTTATCTAGATAGTCTTTAACTGCACAAAGAACTGGGGTGTTTTTACCACTGGAAGAAAAATATGTACCATTGTGAGACAGCTTATTCAATACACTGCATTTTTCAAACCCTAAAGAAAACTTGTGTGGAAGTGGCAACTATAGCTGCCTGCACTGTAAGGCAGTTTTTTCAAAGAGTTTGTTGATAGGGCCTCTTCTTGGCATTCTGTCTTTTCCTTTTCAAAGCATTGCAAGATTTATTTATTCATTTTCAGCACTGGCAGCTTTCAAGTGCACGGTGCTATACAGGATAACATTACAGGAAACTGTGATTCTGTAGCCTCCCAAAAGAAAGAATACTGTCTATGAAACTCAAAGCAAATCATTTTTCAAAATCATGAATTCTTTTCTCTGCATTCTCAGAGGACATTGAATGTTTCTTTCTAGGCTCAAGGGTTCATTTTCTGTTAGTACATGTGTGTAGCTGGTAGCACAGACATCTGGTTGAAGCCATGATTACATCATGGATGTCAAGACATGACACAAATGATACAATTTATGTCCATTGCATGATGACATCATGACTTAGGCAATGTCATTTGCCCCCCTTGCTACACTATAATAAGGATTTTTTTTCAAAGTTTTTGTAGTTCTAAAACTTTGGTATTTCTTTTGCATAATGTAAAAATTGGGATTTAGGCAGTCAAGTCTGCTATTCATGTAAACCTATTCTTAATATAAAAAGAATTATGGGACAAACGGTTGCCTTTTCAGTTTATCATTCCCTATTGATTCCATTTCTCCTAGTCAAAACTGAATACGGTATTATTAATTTTATTGACTACGACAGTACTTACAGCATCCACGAGATTTACCACCGATTTCGCAAAGTTATTCGTATTACTATGGGATGAACGATGTTTTTTGAACTAGAAGAAAAATGTTAAGTCATAATCCAATCAAAACATTGATTATACTTCACTCCTTCCTGGCAATGCCAAAAAGAGAAACAATCCCACTAATATTTCTCTTTGAACATTTTTGCATTGTATTGATAAAGATCAATTGCACAAACAATAGTATAAAACATGATTTTGCAATAACTTTCCCTTATAATTCAAACTTTTGATTGCAAGCCTTCTTCTGTGGCAAATAACTCAATGCATTTTTTTTTATTTCAAGTATAAAATGTTCTGTGAAGAAGACTGTACTTAGTTATCTTTAGATTTGCCATAATAGTCCAGAAAGAAAACTAGATATCTGGGTATCTTACAGAAAGTTTACTATTAAAGTTTTATTCACAAACATAAATAAACTTTTCTTATAAATGAAGCCTGTTAACATTAATTACTTATTATAAGCTTATTTATATATAGTGCCTTTGGGTCAGTCTTGACTCCTGGAAACTATCTAAATAATCAATGCAATTTTGTTGGCAGCATTTGGAACATGGCTTTGCCAGTATCTTCTTCCTAGTGCCGAAAACGACTAGCCCAATGTTCCCCACCCCTCACTGGTCTCATGCCTAAAACAGGACTGGAACTTAGACTCTCCAGGTTTCTAGCCCAGAGCCTTTAACCACTGCACCAAACTAGCTCTCTCAGCATATTTAAAACTCTATGTAGTGAAGGGTTCATACCTCAAGTTTTATTTTTAAACTCCTTGATAAAATTTGCCAAATCATTGGGACACAACAAATGAAAAGAGCAGTTCCTCATCTGGAAATATATTTTATTAATCTTTGGACAAAAGAGTTCAAAAATTCCAGAACATATCTCTCCAAACATTGTACTCTCAGATTATGAGCAAACATGATGAATTTCAAACATCATGTACAAATATTATCAAATTTCTGACCTCATAGAGAAACACTGCAGCAATCCTGACAGAATTTTTATTATCAGCATTATTATTCCCATACTGCAGATGGAAATCTGAGGCTGAAAATGAGGTTTGTTTCCTAGAATAATTGGCAAACAAAATGTAATCAGGCACTTCCTGATTCATATCTCAGTATCTTATCAACTTAGGTTCAACTCAATACCGCTTTAATACCAGCATTTTGAGACATTTTAGAAGTAGTCATTAAGACAGGGAATCTCTGCTATATGCATTGGCTCCACATGAGGTATCACTGTTTAATGGTAGGGCTGGCCTTTGCATGAAAAGTATACTCATTTTGAACTCCTGAAACCTTCAGAGATATGGAGACAGGCCATGTAGGATGGGACAGAGGTAATAAAGAAAATGACTGTGTTCCTTCAAGCCCCCTCATAATTTTAATTGCATGGCAGATGTAATGTTGAACCAAGCCTTGAGAAAGACAACTAGATGAACAAAAATAAATCAACTCTATGGTCTTTCCCAGATGCACTTCCAGAAATAACACTGAATATGGAGGTATCAAGTAATCCAAGCCTGGCTGTTAATGATATCCATAATCTAGTCTTATTCCAAGAATTTTCCAGTGCACATTCCTTAATTCCACAGACTTCATTAAAAAGTACAATTATCTATATTATCATTAAAACGTATGCACTTTCCACAATCAACTTTTATAAAAAAAGAAGAATAGAAATAACTAATAGAATCAACTTACCATTTTATGGTCATTAACAATCATGAGTTCCAGGTATTTCATTTCTTCAAAGATGCCACGCACTGCCTGTAAATCATAAAAAGAATAGTTAGATTTTAAAAAATAGGTTGTTTTAGTGTTTGTCATGATAACTCACACTGTCTTATGTCTGTTATACCAAAGCCTAAGAGCAAATGATATTGTATTAATTTAACTGGGGGGTATCTAACTCGGTCTTTTTTCAGTCTTTTTCAAAATGAAAACAGAAGGAAATTCTTTGTGGATGTAAAAATCCATTTTTCTAGCCAGATATATAGTTTCTTTTTTTCTTCTTTTCTACAACTTTTCTTGTTTTAATTGTAAAAATAATATTTTTAAAAAGGTTTGCCACTACTTTGGATGATAGATTAAAATCAGTCCTGTCATGTTGGCTGGGAATTTCATTAAGTGTGACGAAGATGCTTTGAAAAACTGAATTGCTATCACATACAAGGGTTTTTAACTTTAGAAAAAAGTATAACCTTCCCCCTCCCCAATGCATATGAAAGCTACTTCCTCTACAAGTACAGATGATGAATAGCTACGAAGGATGAAGAATCCTCTGGATACCGACTAAATAGAACCATGGTCTGACTCAGTGAAACTTCACATGTTTTGTCATTACCGAATACATATGTTCAAGAACGGTCAGCTTATATAACATACACCTTATGCAATTAGCACATGAACAAAGACTGGGACAAGCATAACTATCCCATATTGGTGTACCTGTATATAATCTGGCATATTTTTCAATCTTTAGTGTTGCATGAATCTTTTTCTGCTAACAGTTAATCAATTCACTTTTAAGTGAAGTTTTACATTGTCACAGGGTGTGATATGAAAGCATATGATGCAGTTAATTTCCTGAAACTAAACATAACTGAGTCTAATCAGAAACAACCTGGGAATTCAGTGTATATGACTCTGAGTTATGGTCAAATAAAGATGAGATATACAATTAATAAACGTTAATAAATAAATAACATTTTTTCAGGTTTGATATGATGTTTTCTCATTTCCCATTCCCATACAGGAATGTTTACAACCAATACCACAGTGTCTGAGTTTGTATTAAAATTCTGATTTGTTTCTACCTGAGCAATTCAAAGTCCATATTGCACAAAATTAACAAAATATATAGGTAGAACTATATGCAATTTGTTGGCTTCCTAAAAAGGTTATGTATGATTTCTTATTAATGGAAAGAAAGCCAAGCTGTCTTGAATTTACCAGTTGCAGAAATGGACTGTGCATAACAATCTATTCACATTCATAAGAATTCAAACCACCCATTCTTTGAAAGATAGTGTTTGGAGATTTGATTTTCAATTAATAGATCATTTTTTCTATATATTAATTCTATATATTAATTTTGTTCAAAAAGGTTTATGTTTTATTGAGATTTAAATCCTTATCATATAAACAGAAACATTTTATTATTTAGCTCAGCTAATTCAATCACAAATTACATTTATCTCCAGTCTTGAAAAATAATTGTAGATGATTACATATAATATTATATAATCTTTAAAAAATTTGTAATTTTTTTCATAAATTATCTCTTGTAAGCAGTCCACATTCTTCAACATAATTCAGGGTACTTCCTTCCCCATCTTTCTTACAGATTTTCTTTGCCCCTCTAAAAGTGTATATGATTAAATAGTGCCATAAATGTTAAGAGGGTCTCTTTTTTACTCAGTTGAGTAATTTTATCTACTTACCTACTATCTACCTACCTATGTATGTACCTGCTGTTTGTTCAATTATTTATATTTATCTCAGTTTCCCCAATTTGCTGTTTAAAATGAAAAAAATGGGAGGTGAAATAAATGATCTCCTGCAGTACAAAATCACTTCAGCATGAAAGCTGAGGTTTAACACAGTACTACATTTTACATGTTTTCCCATGTCTTTTAAAAGCAAAGAGATCTTGTATTTGATGCAGTATTACTGACGTCGTAACACTCACAGCCCTTCTTCTCCTTCTTAGCCACTGCAACTCAGACAGGAAGGACCAATCAGATGTGGAATCGGTATCTAGAGATTAATAGCAATGAATTTTCTGTTTTAACACACAGCATCTGTACCTTTGTCAAATGAAACATATTGGCCCTTTCCCCTTTTATTGATAAAATTTCCTTTGTTTTAAATCTGCTAGTTTTAGCCAACAAGTTCAAGCTATTTTAAATCCAGTTTAGCATTCAGTCCTCAACTTTATTCACTCAAATTAAAGTCTGTCTCCAAATAGACTGAGTTGATAATGATGGCATGATAAACTATTATTCAAATTATTCACAGTGCCAATCCTATCTCTGATGACTTGTATTTGTCCTGCATATAATCATCCTTCTAAAAAAATATATTAAAAACACTTCTCATTTCAAACTTCCTGCATATTCCAGCGAAAGCAGTTACCAGCAACATGTAATGACGACTATAGGTAGCTAAATTAACTTTCCCTTTCTTGTAAAAAGAAGAATGTCACTGTAAAGATAGGGATTACTGTGAAGGTTGTATATAAATTACAGTTGCTCCAAAATATGGGAGCAGTTGGACAGCTGGCATTACCAAAGGAAAATATAAGGCCAGTTTTATATATACCTTACTAGATATGTTATTATTTGGAAAATGTGCTGTGTATAGTGTTTTGCAATCTAATCTTACAGAAGAATGATGTCAGTATCAATTATGAACCCTCACTGTTCTTCAATAAAAAGATTTTAAGACTCAGTATGATATATGTAGAGTTTGCTCATTGTATTGCATTCTATAGAGGACAATTCTAAAAAGAGTTAATCTTTAATATCACATCATGGTATAAGTTGCCCATACCAGTAAAGACCAAAGAGCTTTCTAACAATTACATTATCAGGTTATCACAAAGAACTGTGTATCTAGAAAAGTGGCTGCTAGCAACAACAATTACAGTGATTATTTAATTCCACATGGAAACTGAGAATGTTTCTGTTATAGTATATGACATACTACTATGTAAATTTCTGTAACTATAATGAGCATTCTTCTGATAGAAGTGCCATTAAAATTATTTACAAATTTACAGAGTTTATATAGTTTTAGTAACAAAACTTATTAAAGTACAGTTATGTCATACCAAGATCTTCCAACTGACTGAAGGCATTTGATCCAAATGTTCTTCGAATGACATGTAGTCTACCTGTACTGCTCTGAAGAAGAAAAAGGAAAAACAAACAAACAGAATATTGTATTGATGATATAAATTTAAGCATGATAGAATATTTTCATCTAGATGGATAGATAGACAGACAGACAAATAGATGGATGGGAGACAGACATAGAAGATAGACAGATAAGATATAATGGATAAGCCTATCCATGGATAAGCTCGGGATGTATTTTGGAACCTAAAATTCTTGGCTTATCCATGAGTGGGTGAGTGGTGTGTGTGTGTGTGTGTTTGTGTGTGTGTGTGTTTGTGTGTGTTCAGTTTAATATTTTTATGTATATAATACTGACTACATAATTTAGCATGTATAGAAACCTGAAATTGTATTTTTCAATGATACAAATCGAACTGTGGAATATTTCTCCTTGGATGTTCACTAGGAATGCAACTGGACTGAACTCCCTTTATTACCTTGCTGGTCCTCCTTCCCTTCTGCTACTGGTTAGATATTATTTGGGTGGACCCTGACCATATTTTCTACTGAGTTTTTGTTGGCTGTTTTGGAAAGAGTCCTCAGCCTTCTAATATTTCTCCTGATCTATTTTACAATTATATAAAGATAGAAAGCGGAATCTAAGTCAATTCTAATTGGAACTTAAAACTATAATTCCATGACTTAAACTTAGTTTTCCATATTTAATTCTCTAACAATGAGAATATTTGTAGCTCAGGGTTGAAATGAGAGGTCCTTGATGCTCTCTGAGCTTGGTTGTTTTCTTGAAGACGTTTCATTACCTAAACTAGGAAACATCATCAGTGCATTGATGATGTTACCTAGTTCAAGTAATGAAACATCCCTTATGTCTAACAATCTATTAACATTCAGTAACAACTAGCTGTAATGGGGCTGTTGAAGGAAAACCTCTGAGAACCTTTGGAATTCTATAAAGCAGGCTTGTACATCTTTCCTACAGGTGTTCTGGCCACATATATACCAGCACTTGGAATACTGAAGTTGTTATTTAGATATACAATGATAACTCCCTAATTATCAATTTATGCCATCCTTTGCCATCAAATGTATTAAAACACTCTTTTAATAGAAATGTTTGCTGCAGCCTTCTTTATGTCTTTATTCTTCTGTCTCCTAGAAAGATAAGCATAGCATCCTGTAATAATCCATAGTCTACCAACATGGCATAATATCTGATGAGAGGAAAAAAGCCTGCTTATGTCATGCATCAACCCCCATGGGAAAAACCTCCATTAGTGAAAAAGCTTCTATATTCTATATAACTAAAGAAAAACGTAGTGATAGCTTACCTTGATGCTCTTAAAAGCAGTGTTATTTTTAGCATCTGCTGCTATTTTTGGAACTAGAACACATCTCTAGAAAGATTGCAAGAAGTCTAGGAGGAGGTCAAGATTATTTACTCTGGCAGAAAAGCTCCACAGTTCTGCAATTCTCTAAATTATCTCAAGCAAAAATTAGGAAATTATTTTCCCAGGTGAGAAAAAGAAAGAAACACCTGCTTCTCCAGAAAGAGTCCCATCAAAACTGCCAGTGAACAGTCTTTTTACTTTAGATCAGTGGTTCTCAACCTTTCTAATGCCGCAACCCCATAATACAGTTCCCCATGTTGTGGTGACTCCCAACCACTTATACATCACCGGGTGCCAGGGGCGTGGCCAAAGAAAAGGAGGGAAAATGGCGGACAGCCTTGTTTGGCGACCCCCGTGAAATAGTCGTTCGACCCCAAATGGAGTCCCGACCCACAGGTTGAGAACCACTGCTTTAGATGCACCTTACCAAACACTTCCTTCACAATGAACAAAGGGTAAGTTCATAGCCAACCAAGATAGGGGCTGCCAATTCCACCAATGCTTTGGCATGTCACCTTTTCTGACTATCCAACAGGATGTCAGAAGGAGCTGGTCCTTTTCAAAGAGTACTGCATAGAGAGATACTATCTCTGAGATCTTAAAGGAAACATGTTCTTGTTGTACATGGTCCATTGTGCCTCTGGAAATGAAAATTAAAAGGAGATAATCTCCCTTTTTTTGCTCAAACTGTTCACTAAATATAACTTTAAATCCATTTCCTATTTTGGGCAATATTAGTACAAATTATAGCTTCCTTCCAGCCTCTGTCTTTGCTCTCTTTCCCCCTTTCATACATGTATTCTTCAATTCTAAATCTTGAATAGTTGGTGCTCACTAATTCATGGTTTCATTTTCTAATAAGTTAAGAAAGGAAAGGTTGCGCTGCAGTTGCTATTTAAGTTCCTAAGTTGTCTTTTTGTTCCTTTTTTGAAAGTGATATATTTTATTACAAAGAATCAGTAGAATACATTGATAGTGTAATACTATTCATGTCTTCTAACAACTTTTTTCCTTTTACACAATAAATTGGAAGGAAGGAAGGAAGGAAGGGCCACATTAAATACATAAAGGGAAAAAATACTTCAATCAAATTTTAAAATACATCATGAAAATTTGACCACACAAAATAATATTAATCAAACTTCTATTATGACAACACATTGCTAGTTCTTAGTTAAAAGTGAGCACATATCTTTAATCCAGAGTTATAAGTTTGGAATCACCCTACCTTTCCAACACTGATTTTTTCCTGCTATTCCTCCTGTGTAAAGTATTCATATTTCATCTACTGACATATTCCTGATTTGTGGTACATCGCTATACAGCATAGTCACATATTTAATATCTTCATTACACTATATTAATTATCATCATCAAACCGAAACAGACATCAAACCAAAATAGAGGATTAATTGAACAAGCTCAATTAATTTTATTTTTAATGTATAAGCCTCAAAGAAGCCATTATCATGTCATATTCCATTTCATTTCACTATTATTTGCTGAAAACAATGGGAAAATTAGGCTTTGGAAATATTCCTGGAGGCTCTGAGGATGAAAAAAACTGATTTGAGGACCCTATGAGATTCTACCTGCTTATGTTAACAATGGCCTGAATTTTCAAATCCTAGTCAGGATTCTATCTCAAGGCCAAGCCTGAAAAGAAATTACATGGCCCATTAAAACCCAAAAAGACCTCACAGAAATGCTATATTCAACTCAACCATAAAACACACATATTTTATACACAAGTAAACTAGTTAAATATATCAGTTTATGCAATCCATTCCCTCGTTATGGCTTTATTTGTGAACTGCTTGTCATCTTTCCGCCCCTGAAAGCTTTTTATACACCTTTGAAAACCTGGCCCTTCCCAGAGGCTGTGCTCCAGTGCATTGGATCAGCCTGTCTTCCAATGATTTATGAATGTGAATATGGTTTGGCCTCATTTCTACTCTGTCTTTTGTTGTTTTTATTCTTGTTGGTTATTTTTGCTTTTTGTTTTCAAAATGTCAGCTACCCAGAGTTGGGTGGCCGTAACAATTAATAAAATAAATAAAATAAAATTTCTACAGCTTTGATAGTTTGTCCTCAGATTTCATGTCCACAACCCAAATGCTTTACATGGCACTGAGCTTACCTGAATATTACGTCATTATTATAGAAGTGGTGTGAATGTATTATTATTCAGGTTAACCTCATTTAAGTAACATATTCAGCTACAGTTATGTTTATAAGAAATTACAAAATATATCAAATACAGGGTACAAAAAGTTAGTAAAAATATTCATTCAAATTCAGTGTTATAGATATTTCAGACTGAATAATAATAATGCCATTTAATTTATATTGGTTAGGATTTGCACCTTTTACAACAAATCAAAGCGAGATCTAAGTGGGTAAATATTAACATACCATGCTGTGAGTTATCTCCAAAGGTTCTAGCAGGTAGATGTAAGTATTGTCTTCAAACATGCCACTAGAATATGAGAAAACACGTTTTAAATACTTTAATATTAAGCAAATGGGAGTATATATTGTAGGAACTCCCACACATTTCCAGACTATATATTCATGTATTCCACACAAAATACAAAACATTGTGACAAATGGTTTATGTTGTTATTAGGAACGATAAAGCATCTTTGAAGATGTGCATGAGAGACTGATGAATATCAGTATGGTTGTGCATTATTTCAAACAGTTCCAAAACAACATGTGGAACAATGGGGGAGGATTGAATGCAGAGTCCAACCCTTGTATGCTCCAAAGCACCATTTTGAAATCAAATCCACACATGGCCCTAGATTTATAATGAGAGAGGAATTCAATATGACAAATATCCTATTTACAAGTTTAGTTGTTTGTATGCTAACTTGAAATTAAGACATATTCTATCTATAAATCTGCATTTGTAAGCAGAATCAACCAGTTTGCTGTGTTGCTGAACACATCACGGAATCTTTTTGATCTATGAAATCCTTTATTGGTTAAAGCTTTATTATGGGGTGTTCAAGGGAGATATTCATGTCCTGACAAGATCAAACAAAGGGGGCTTAAGCAAAAAAATCCTTGATATAGCATTAGAAACAGAATATAGGAAAATCTCACCTAAGATACAATTGGGCCATAGCAATGCACACTTTAAAGCTGCATTGTAGTAAAGCAGTAAATTTTAGTGAGCATTTACATTATTATATTATACCATCAGCAGAGCCAGGGGGAAAATTTCATATGCAGAAGCTCTGTCCTTGTAAAGATGACAACACTGAAACACAAACTGATATACCTTTATATTATAATTTTCTATTGAAATATATGTAAAGAGTTCCTAACGGTTCTTCATTTCCAGGATAGAGTGAAGAATTTTATTATGTAACATTTAGTAGCACATAAGGAGGCCAAGATAACTCTTGCCATTGCTAAGTTTCGTCTAACACTTGGGAGGAAGCATCTACCAAGGCGTTTCTGGGTTGAAGGGATTTAGCCATGACATCAGCATTCCCAGGGGACGCCTGACGCGACTCCTTTCATGTCCCTTTTATTTTCCCACCAAAGTGGTACTTATTTATCTACTTGCATTTGCATGCTTTCAAACTGCTAGGTGGGCAGGAGCTGGGCATTCTAGCCCTGTGAGCCACCACAGCCCTAATTTATTAGACTTATGCCCACCTTTTCTGCGCATAGCACTCATTCACTGAGCAACAGCCCCATGGGGCAACTGGAATTGAGAACATGAGTAAATTGGAAAATATGACACAGAATAACTGGAATATGATAGATAGATAGATAGATAGATAGATAGATAGATAGATAGATAGATAGATAGATAGATAGATAGATAGATAGATAGATAGATAGATAGATAGGACAGACAGACAGACAGACAGACTGTAGATAGATATAGATAAATGATAGATGGGAGAGAGAGAGAGAGAGAGAGCACTGTATTCTAAACTGTCAATATCCTCTAAATATCTCCCAGATCTCATTGTTACGAGGAAACCACTAGACTGAACATTCTATATGTTTTAATTTCTGTCCAATTATCTGCATAGCTGAGAATACTGATAGTAATAATTCACTATCACAGTTGCCTGATAGCCACCCAAAATCTAACTAAGCATATTTATTAGAGCTGGGTTGGTTTATACTTTCCTATATAAAGTTACAGTCTCATTCAACAACCTCTGTCTACAAGTCTTTCCAGAGGTCCCAAACATTTTCTCCATTTATCAGCATTTCTTTCACTCTAATATCTTTTTTCTCTCTTAATGCTTTAATTATACCAACAATGGTTTTCATAAATTCCCTAAAATTTGCATATTAGCAAATAGCTGTTCTCCAATTACACGGGTCACTGGTCATTAGAAAAAAATTATGATTAATGCAGAAAGAAGGCTTTCTGCCAAAGGGCAGGTGTCCATGATGGGGAGGGATGAAAAAAGTCATACTTTTAGTTACTGGGACACTGTACTCTAGTCCAAAACAGAGACTATGGAAAACTGCCTAATACGAAGGATACAGCGTATTAAAATAATAAGATATTTATTAGTAATTATACTTACTGAAGTCCATTACAGGTAGAAATAGCAGCTTTGGATTTTGGAATGCCTCTGATGCTTCCATGATAATAGCAGTGTTCCCCTCCCTGAAAATGAACAAAAATCTTCTGTTTTTATAATTACTTTTTAAATGGGCCGATGCATATCGGAATAATAGATTCATATTTTAAGCTGGTATATGACAATAAAACATAAATGAACAGTTTGCATTTTTTAGTACAGTTTTAGTATACACTACAAAAATAAAAAGTAGTTTACTAAATAAATTAAAAGTGTAATTTTCAAGGAAGAGCTAAGAAATAGCCTACCCAATGGGCAGACTATTATCAACCAAACACAGAATTATAATGGCAAACTGTTAAGAATTCAGTTCTTAAAATGATTTTTAGTTGCTCATAAATACCGTAATTCCCCAGTTATCTACCATTATTTTAATGAACAATTATGACCCTATTACAATACTGTAATATTGCAATACTGTTGGCTACACAGTCAGCCAGATGTTTAGATTGGTTTCAGCGTTTTTGTCCATCTATCGAGTACTTTCAAGAATCTGGTATCGTTGCAGGTTATCACGTGTTTCAAATGAAGCTACCTTTTGCAATTGATTGATGGTGATTTTGTCAATGCCAATGCTATTCAAGTGGTGTTTCAGATGTTTTGGGATTGCACCCAAAACATCTATTACTATTGGTGCTATCTTTGCTTTATTTTCCCATGACTGTTCTACTGCTACTTGCAGGTCATCATATTTTGTAATTTTCTCAGCTTCTTTCTCTCTAGCTACTGTAACATCCACTATCCAGACTTTTTTGTGTTACTTATTCACAATTGTAAAGTCTGGGTAATGTGCAGTAGATGCTTCTCGGTTTGAATTCCAAAGTCCCAGAGAACTTTAGCTTCTTTGTTTTCTATTACTTTGTCTGTTTTGTGATCCACACGTTCTTGCTTGCAAAGATATTCAAATGGTACTTTTTGCAGGTATTCCAATGCCTCATTACTACTACTTTGTCAGTCTGTACAATCTTCTTGCAGCAACTAACTAGGTAGTCCAGAGGTCTTCAAACTTGGCCCTTTTATGACTTGTGGATTTCAACTCCCAGAATTCCTCAGCCAGGCACACTGTCTGAGGAATTCTGGGAGTTGAAGTCCACAAGTTATAAAAGGGCCAAGTTTGAAAACCCCTGAGTAGTCCATGGCTTCTTCAGTGGATAGGTGGCACTCATCGTCTGTTGCGGTTTTCTTAATCCTGGCTTTGCATGCATTTGTCCTTAAGGCTTGGTCTTAGGCATCCAGAATTAGCCCCTCTGTATGTTTCTTCAACTTTCCTGCTCTCAGCCATTGTCAGGTCTTATTATTTATTAAATGCACATGCCATCCAGCTTTAAGTAATTCTGGACAGTTTACTATGGCTAGACACAAAAAGAACTACTTTGACAACCACCTGTTTCTGTGGTGCACCTTTTGCCAAATGCTATGCCCCCAGCTCTATCTTTTCTGAAAGTAATGAATTGCAAACAATTGTTTTTATGGCCAATCTATGACCCAAAAGCATTCTTAAAATAAATATGAGGCTCAGTTACAAAGTGCGCAGTTACAAAGTATGCTAACTTCCTTTCTGCAAGTATACCAATTTATAGTGGTTAGTGGAACATTTAATAGACTAAATTATCTAATTTCACCTATGGTTGTGATAACCAAATCTAAGCTTGAATGCTTGAGTTGATTTTTTTTAAAGCAGGCACAAGTACAATGATCACTTTATGATTTTTTTAAAAAATAATGTTTTTGTGAAATGAAAAACAAAATAATAAAGAATTGACTGGATTTAAAGAGAATTGCAAAATAATCAATTAAATCACAAGTCTATCTCTATTGCTCTGAGTTTGGTTTGAGTATTTGATCAGAATTAAGCACAAAATATATAAATAAAAGACACCATATGATCCTGGGATGTCAAACTGCCGACCCGTGGGTCAGACGTGTCATTGGGAAACCACGCCCACCCCATTGCCGGCAATGGAGAAAAAGCTCTGATATGTTGTGCGATGTCATGTGACATTGCGAGTTTGCACACTCTTAACTTGGACATTCCAAAATGGTAATTAAGGGGAACGATGAATGAGGGACTTCACTTATTCACTTTTATTTTTTAAAAAAATCTAAGGCTTTTCACCTCCGTTTCAAGTCATTACATAACATATTCATAAAAAGTACAAACAGCAGCTCTTTTTACTGCATAAAACAAAATTAAATTCCATTCTCTAAACATGGAAGAAGTGTCCTATATTTAATCTCCTGGATAATGAATTCAAGATTTCTCCTGAGAACATTAGTAATTATATCAGCAAAGTGGTATATAATCTAAAGGCTTCTTTCACTATTTACAAATGACTAACTCTAAAAAATGTTTACAGAAATCTAGATTGTTACTGCTATGTGTAAAAAAATGTCCCATTTATTATTTCTAGTGGATTTTTAGCCTCTAATTGGGTCTCAAATACTGTTGATAATACTTAATTGTCAATACTTACTCGTCAATAAAAATCTTTAACAGTATTTCTATTTTGGAAGTTTTTTGAAAGCCAATCCAGATATTACACTCTCAAATAAGCCACAATCCATATTTGAAACTGTACATCAATTAATGTTTACCACAACCAATGAACATTTTACATGAAGCAAAATTCAAAGCTATTTTCTCTACCTTCTCTTCCACCAGCACAGATAAAATCTAACATCCAGGTTTTTTCAATGTAGAATTCTTTTGAATGAATATCTAAGATATCAGAAAACATGTCCTATGCAGACACAGTTTATTTATGGAGGTTGAAGCCAAAGACTAGACATTAAAGACCAAAATTTGCCTAATTTTACCAAACAAACACTGTGAATATACGTCCGTGTGTCTGTCTGTCTGTGTCAGAGATAACATCCAAGTAAGTCCACATTCATAATCCCATATTGTATATAAAAAAGCTAGGCTTATTTATTATCCATTATGGAGATTGAGGGAAAATGGCCCTTTTTCTTCAAGATGACACAGTTCTACTCAAATGCAGACCAAAAAGGAAACTGGCAATAATGCAGTAAGATAGGCAAGGAACTTTACTTTTCACTAGCCATGAATATTTGTATATAGTTGACTATTATCAGAAAATTAAACTGATTTTGATCAAACATAAAACTTTTAAAAAATTACATAAATATTACATCAAGTGAATATAATATAGGTACTCTTTTACTACAACACAGTAAAATTTAATTTTAAGTATCCCAGTTTAATATCTGATAAGGTAGCTATAATAATATAGGTTTTAGAAATCCTCCAAAACTTACTTTCATTTAACAATTTGCACTTGCCCAGCACATTATTTATAACTGAAAATATTTATCTTACTTGTCAGAATAATAAGCTGTTTGGCAATTATGAAACAAACTGAATTTAAAGCAACAGAATGGGACTAATAATATTTAGCATTTTGCCTGTTTTCCACATGAAATCCTTTGCATAGTTTCTGTTTTTCTGTTTTTTAAAACATTAAACAATAGTTAAGCAATACAGTTCGTGAGAAATGCCAGGGTGGATGAAGAGTCTGTTGGACTGGAAGGAGATCAAATCAGTCAGTCCCAAAGGGAATCAACTCTGACTGTTCTCTTGAAGGACAGATACTGAAGCTGAAGCTCAAATATATAGCATACATAGACAATCCATGTAATTATAAGTAAAACTTCTTTGGGGGTAAGGCAGTGGCCTTATAACTGGATGTCCAATTCAGCTATCCAGGCGATCACCTCTGGCATTGCTTCATGCAGATCTCTAGGGAACCAGAGAACGCACGTCATGGGCAATCTTGAGCAATATGTTTAATAGTTTACAGTTCAGCACCACAATTACAACAAGGTGGATCTTTCCATCCCCACTGATACAGGGCAGAAGTATTTCTTCCAGTATCACACCTAATTCTGTTCAATTTTGACCATACAAACAAGGTCAGGTCAAAATGAGAAGAGAGGACTAATTGGAAAAGATCCTGAGGCTGGGAAAGATTAAAAGCTAAAGGACTTGAAGAGGACAGCAGAGGATGAAAGGGTTAGCTAGTGTCATTGTCACAGTGGGCATGAATTTGGCAGATTCCAGGAGACAGTGGAAGAGGGGGGGCTGACATCCTATGGTTCATGGGGTCATGAAGAATCGGACACAACTTAGTGACTGAACAACCACAAGCAATACAATATTTTAAACTAGGCAGGCTTTGATTTCAAAGCCTAATCTTATTAAAATTGATTAAACTTGCCACAGACATTAGTAGACAAAATGCACATTGTACACTTTGACAAATTTAACAAAAAATAAATATGAGATATGCTAATATTATCAAACACAAGAAAAATGACTACAGTACCTTTGAATATTGTGGTCTGTCATCTTCATAATAAATTTCCACATAATCAGCAGATAATAAGTCACTACAAAGAAGCAAAGGAAAAAATGTCCGTATAATCTATTATATAAAGCTGATCAAGTGTGACTTTATTCATTGTGAATAAAGAATAACAAAGAGGAATTGCCCTGATGAGGTATTATTACTGCTAATCTGAATTTAAATATTGCATATTATGTTTAAGTGCTTAGATACATGGAGACTGTGAATTCTAGTCCTGCTTTAGGCACAAAGCCAGCTGGATGATTTGGACCAGTCTCTCTTTCTCAGTCTTAGAAAGAAGACAAAAGCAAAACACTCCCAAAAACATTGCCTAGAAAACTTATTTTTAAGATTGCCTCAAAGGCATGCTTCCACCACCAAAAATTGGACCTAAAACCAATGTTATTTAGTTTTATACATAAATAGCATTTATATCATACATTTCCTTTTTGCACTGCTCAAGAAAATTCACAAAACATTAAACTCATAATTCAATACATAGGCTGGCAACCAGTGGCTTCCTTAATGGCAGTTTTGTATAACAAAACAATAATTTTAGAAATGATAAATACCGGTAGTTTAAAATAGTGTACTTTTAAACATTTAAATAATTGTGCCAATTCAACTTGAACTCAAATTTTATTACTGTCAAAGACCAAAAGAACAATAAAAGATAAGGAAATAATATGAGAAATATAATACAAAATCAATCATAGTGTATTCAGGACCATGCCATTAAACACCTCTACCTTCATCACACCTGATTCAAGGCATAGAGATTCATTAGAAACAAAAGAAGGCACTGAAACGACACCTTGGAGAATTTGGACTGGACTCATTCAATGGAGGCAAATCTAGAAAATTATCCAAGAAAATTGTCCATAAGTGAGCTGGGACAAAAATTCAGCTTGAAATTACCTAAGGGTTGCTAGAATGCAACTCCCTTTCATCTCTGAGCCAAGCTTTTTTGAGCTGCCCTTTATCTGCTTGAGACATGAAATCTCACACCTATTACAATGAATCTTAATACCGTAAAAGAATAGGGTTGGCAAACACCTTAATTTTGGTTTTAGAATAATTTAGTGTAGTGCTCTTTGCATTACTGAGCAAGTGCCAAGAACACTGTCCTAAGACCAATGGGGATGTTCCAGATGATCACAGCATCATCAGCATTAAGAAAGGTAGAGAAGCACCTTCCTGCCAACTTGAAGGGTTAGCAATATAAAAGCCTCCTATCCATAAAGGAAATTTTCAAGTTCTTCCAAAGAACATCACACAAGTTGGAGTCAAAGCATAAATCAACAAATGCTACATAAAGAGAGGCTATAGACTGAATATTTCTCTGTCAGATTTTGCAAGAGTATATGCGATAGCTGATCAAGCTTTTATGAAATCAGTTTGCTCTTCTATCCAAAGCATTTCCTGCTCCAGCTGGTCACAAAGCTTCTATTGCAAGCTCCTGGCATAAACCTTGCAATGGTGCTAAGCAAGCTTATCGATCTATAATTTTAAGGATACTCTTCAATGCAATTCTTATGCAGGTGCACTGAGATTGCAACAATCCAGTCTTTAAGAATTTGTCCAAGCTGGTCAACAGCTGTTAATACAGAGCCCACTTCCCTCTTTATCAAGTTTAGCTGGTAGCATCAGCCTTGCTGTATAACTTCTTAAAATGTATTCCCCATGTTTTTGAAAGTTAAACTGCCTAATGAAGATAAGCCTGTACTCAGATAATTCAGATACTAAGCGACTAAATGGATAGAATCAAATTCCACTCAGTGATCCACTGGGTTTCTCCCTCACTCTGTGAGGGCCACAGTTCCGATGCAAGGCATGGGTGAGCTGTATTGGGTATTAGGAGGTCCCTGTGGAGTTTTCAAAGGTATTAATCTGGTGTTCATCCTGGCTTGGAGGCAATATTTCCATCTCAAGGCAGAGCTTGGAAATGAGAGTAGATAACAGAAGCAAATCAATTTTAGCCTAAGCTGCATTTAGCATTTCAATTTATGTAGGAGACACATTCTCAGCAGCAAAATCCTTTCCCAATGAATCCTATGATGAGTTCCTGTTGGAGGAAAATGCAGAATGATTGACTTTGCTATCCTTTCCCACCAATTACGGCACTGCAGCAGTAATGGAGTATGGGTACAGTAGTAGTTTATTGATTAGTCTTATGACTATATCAAAGAAGATAACATAAAAATAAAATATTGAATCTAATACAGTGGTTCTCAACCTGTGGGTCGGGACCCCATTTGGGGTCGAACGACCATTTCACGGGGGTCACCAAACAAGGCTGTCCGCCATTTTTCCCCCCTTTTCTTTGGCCACGCCCCTGGCACCTGGTGATGTATAAGTGGTTGGGGGTCACCACAACATGGGGAACTGTATTATGGGGTCGCGGCATTAGAAAGGTTGAGAACCACTGATCTAATACTATAGTTAATAGATAAAAGAAAACACAGTAATAAAATACATATGTGGTAAATTCAAAGATTCAACTGCCAGATAAATACATCAATTTTACAGGATGCCCCAATCTGTTCAATGTAACACGTTCTTATCTCAACTGCCTTAACTATAAATTTAGCAGTTCTGCTCACAATGTATACATTAGAGCCCAGGAGAAAATAGGGCAATCTGCAATTCAGATCCCAGTAGGCTATTTTTTCAAACAGGGATGTTAATTGTCTTAATCTAAATGGGGCATACAGTTGACACTCAAACAAAATATGAACAATATCTTCAAAGTCTGTGGCACCACATATACACATCCTCTCATGACAGAGCAGGTGATGGAAGTATCTCATTTGGTGATGGAATTCACCAACTCAGATCTTGTTCCAGAATAGCCCTTCTTAATAACTGCATCTCAAACTCACTGACAGGTATTTTTCAAATTGAAAAATTGTTTTGTTCTTCGCAAACCAATTTAAAGATTTATTTTTTGCCAATAACTCCATGTCACTTTGGACACTGAGATCTGAGAAATTTAAAAATTTGCCTTGTTTAAGTATTAGTTGAGAGTAAAAACTGGGTAGAAATAACTTTGGTAAGTCAGCTTATCCAGGAATTGGGCTGAGCCATACTTAACTGTTTTACTAAGCGTATTTTGGGTAACCTATCAGGGTCGGTTGAATGGATCCTCTTCCAGTATGTGAAAATTTTAATTATGATAGACTATGTATGGAATTGACGCCTGCTTCTGCACTGACCATAGGGGCTGATATATTCTTATCAGTTCCAAGTATACTTCTGTAAAAAAATGGGTCAGAACTTGTTCAAGTGAGGAAGCTTTTGTAAGGCCCTTTCATTCAGCACAATGTCAGCATTGGGGCTACTTTTGCCCTGAATACTTTGAGTATGGGGTCAAGGTGCCTGGGGTAATTGCAATTAAATAGTTCATATAATATTTTAGTACTTTCTTGAGCCCCTGCCAAGCTTCTTTTACAATTATTTACCCACAACTCTGTGTTGGCAAAAACCACTCCTAAACAAGTAAAAGAATTCACTTGATCAATAGGCTTCCCATTTATCTGTTTGATAAATACCATCAGATTTTATTTGAATTTATTGATTAAAGAAGGTATTTAGCTTTCACAACCATCTTCTCGGGACTATTTGAGAGTGAGCCATAAGTACCATATAAATTTATTAATCATGCATATGAGTGTCTGAAGCATATAGGAATCCTGGAACAACATTGACGTCATAGAGCATTGGGGCTAGCAAATAATTCTGTCTAACACCTTTATGTGTGGGTATAATCTTAGAGAACCTCTAACACCCATAGAGACTTTCAAATGGATTTTTGAGTCGTGGGCACTAACCAAGAGGAAACAAGAGTAAGAATCTTCCATATTTACTTTGGCCAATTTCTTCCACAAAATGTTTCTCTTCATAGAATCAAAACACGCATTGAGATCTACAAAAGTGGTAAACAGTTTCTTGCCATTAGTCAATTATTTTCTTGTAAAGTGATATTATCTATTGTTGAATGCTCTGGTGCAAATCCACCTTGTTTCTTCATTACGATTTTTTTTTTTTTTTTACATTATACAGTCTTCTATTTTGCTCAAAAAATGTTTGCATACATTTTAGCCACAATTCCAAAAAGGCTCCAGTAAGGTATTGTAATGTTTTGGGTCATCCCGGTCTCCCATTTATAATGATGACTTATCATCCAACTGGGGTGCAACCTGTCAACACCCTTGTTTATAATCAGATGGGAATCCTGACTGTATCGTTACAGTTTGGCAACACTTTCCAGGAAATCAGTATACTTTATGAAATTTTCCTTTCATTAAAATATTTACTTTAATTAAAAGATCTGTTATACTGAACAAAATAAGTGAGAACCATAGACATAAACTTACTTGTTCAGGGAGAGGTCAAGAATAAATGTAGAACCGAAAGCTTCAATCTGGAAACTTGCCTGAGCTAGATGCACAGCCTAAAAAAAAGAAGAGAAGAATGTGAGGATAGAAATGGAGACAAAAAATATGCATAAGAAAAACTTTTATCAACTTTGGTAAAACTTTTATGTTTTATCAAATTGTCCATATAAATCTGTCTCATTTTGATCTTACCCAGCTGAGTTCAAATAATATGGGAAAATATTAGAGTCTTATGCACACATGCATCTTGCAAAGCTATCTAGGATTTTGTGTTGACCTTGTAGAAACCAAAACAATGGATTGCATCCTCTATAATATGAACACCACCATCTGTCAGCTGCATCCATGGTTTTCCTAGCTTCTTTGAACACTAAAGGGTAGGGTGGAGGGATCATGGGTGGCTAGATTTCTGAAGTGAGATTATGTTGCTATTGGTCTTAAAAAGGGCAGTAGATTGACCTCTCTTGAAGAAGTCATACCTTGATCCAGCCTTGCATGATAACCATCTACCAACTTCTTACAGATGTTTGTAGAAAAAAAATGTAGTGGTAGCTGAGCTAAACATAATCTTAAACAAAACAGATTATCTAAATTCTTTTCTGACTGGATTCAGGCTCAAGCATGGGATGGAATCAGCATTGTTCATTCTGGTAGATGGCCTACAATGTCACTTGGGAAATGGGAGTTTTTCCCTACTAGATCTATTCAACTCTCAGCAGCTTTTGGATCCACTGATCATGGTATTCTACTGCAGGGGTCCCCAGCCCCCGGTCTGTGGACCAGCTCCGGCCATGGCATGCCAGAAACCGGTCTGTGCAAACAAGCAAAGCCCCATCTGCAGGTTGCAGGCAGTACATGAAACCATGCCCCGTCTGATCCTCAGAAAAACCTCCCTCCATGGAATTGGTCCCTGGGGACCTGTGCTCTACTGGATTGTTGGAGTTAAGAGCCAGAGGTACAATTTTGCAGTAGTTTCATTCCTACCATGATGAAGGAAAAGAGCTCAAGTCTATGGGTGTTAAAGAATTTAAGTTCTTTCCCACTTCCATGTAAAGAATTAAGATCTATTTCTATTTAACATCCATACAAAGCTGCTGGTTTGGGTTGAGATATCAGTACATTGATGATACTTCAGTATATCTTGTTACTGCAGGTTATACTAGATATGCTGTAGAAATTCTAATTCTCTGGGGGCTAAGACAGTTTGGAAATAAGCTTAGGTTTAAGCAGGACAAAATTTCTATTTATCCAGAAATATTCAGGATTTAAAATGGTATCAATATCAATACAGATGGGGTCATTCCCCGTGAAAGAGCAGGTATGCAGTTTGGATGCTTCTGAATGTTTACGTAGCTGACATTTTTAATAGTTCTACTGTTTTCCACAATTTTCTACAGTTTTACACTTCTAGTCATTCCAAGTTTTGTGACTGGTCTTCCTGCTAATGCTGTACATATTTTCAGTCTGCTAAAAATACAATGAAAATAAAAAATAACATACCTATAAAAATCATGGTATCCAAACCCATACTCATAAAAGTCATACCTAAAACAAAATTTACAAGCACAAGAGCTAGCAGATTAATTTTAGATGAAAGAGCTACTTCATTATAAATGATTCTGGTAGGGCAAGTATGAAGAAGAAGAATCAAACAAACCTCTGAAGGATAAGATTTTTACATCTCAATGCTGCTGTTAAAAATAACTTTTTTGTTCCCACCAGAAGCACTTCAAAATTTGGCAGAATGAGAGATGGGCCTATCAATAGTTTAGCAGGCATAGTGGGAAAAAATATATTTTAGCTAACTTGTTTTCAAGCTACTTGGTAGCATTTTTAACTGAGTCTGGGCTCAAAATGAATTCTTAATCTGTTAAAACAGTTGTAACACAAGATTAACATGCTTGCTATATAATCAACTATGGCAGTTTCACAACATTTCTCAGAAGCACCTTATTACTTGAAGTAATCCAGAAAGGATTAAGGGGGAACGGAAATGCCCCTTTAGTTAAAGAACCTCCCCCCATGTGTTAAGAAGAAGTATCTTGGCAAGCAAGCAGACTCCCCCCAAAATGCCCCAGGCAGCTGTAAGTAGCAGCTCAAGAAGCAATTTCTGGTTCACCATTCACTGCACCTGCACAAATGCTTAAGTAGGACTATAATAACGATTAAATAGGAGCAAAAAGTTGAATCAATAGAAGAGAATATATATGGCTCAGGGCTGAGTCTTGCGGAGTCCTGGATGGCTTGGTTGTTTGCTTGCAGATGGTTCATTACCAGACTAGGTAACATCTTCAATGCTATTTTGTTATCTAATCACTGTAGAATTTGCCCTAGTCTGGTGATGCAACATCTGTAAGCAAACATCCAAGCTCAGGAAGCACCAAGAACTCCTCAAAGAGTTGAATACTTGAGGAAGAGTATTATTAGTGTATGGTGTTCATTCAATAGCCAGAAGACTACAATGCTAGTGCAGGATAGTAGTTTGGCTGCCAATTAACTAGCTCTGATATAGTACATGTTTGCATGTTTCCCAAAGTGCGCCACAGGAGAGCAAGCTAGCTTTGCACCAGAAAGACAAGCGGCTCTTCCTGCAATGTCATCCAAGCCCGCGCTCTCTCCAACAGAGCAACCTCGGAAATAGGCATCACAACTGGGAAGTTTCAGAGCCGGCAGGCATCTGACTGACTGCACGAAGTACCAGTTCATCTCCCCACCAAAGTAGTACCTATTTATCTACTCTCATAGAACATGCTCTCGAACTGCTAGGTGGGCAGAAGTTAAGGCAAGTGACAGGAGATCACCCTGACACACAGTACAAGGGCTCGAACCACGGAGCAGAGACCATCTCCAGTGTCATTAAGCCACAGAGCCACCATGCCTCTTGAGGAAGAGTGAACATTTTGCAGATAGGAAGCAACAGTTTTAACAATGACATCAGACTCCCGATTACCTCTATATGATTTTTGCCAAATTAATAATACAACTGTTGGAATATTCATGAACAGGAAGAGTCATGTGGTAACTCAGTCAGCCGATGTGAAGAAAGTGCTACTGAGTCTGTGCAAAAGAGTATTGAGTTAGGAGTTGGATTTCCAGTCTCTGCGTTTTTTCTCTGGTCTGTCTCTGTAAGAAGTCTTCATTAAGCTATGTTGCTGTAAAGAAGAATGGTATTGTAAATATTTTTATATAAATATAAAGTTATTTGAATCAGCTAAATGCAGTCAACTGTGAGAGCTTCTGATTTATTTTTCACCAACAGAGAAATTAAAATTCTCTAACAGGTTATGGGCCTAGAGCTTACTAAGGACTGCATTGTAATTTAAAGCTGGAAGAAATTGCCTGTGTTTAGAAAGTATAAAAACAAGGCAGAATTAGCAGAATGGCTGCAATGGAATTTAAGGAAAGCTGTGTGCCTCATTTGGGCCAGAAGAATTACATTGTGTGGGCTGCTAAAATGGAATGTTTGGTCAAAGCAAAAGAGCTGTGGTATATTGTAGAAAATCCACCACACGTGTTTGCAGCAGTTGATCAGAAAAGCCATGATCGAGCAATGGCTTATCTCATCTTGAATTTAGATGATGAACAATTTCTAAATGTTGCAAATTTAAAGACTGCAAAGGAGATTTGGCTGAAGTTGAGAGCTGTGCATGTGAATGTTTCTGCATGCAATATAGTGCAATTGTCAAGAAAACTTTACAGGGCCTGTTTGCAACCAGGTGAATCTGTGGAACAGCATTTAAATAAAACGCAAAGTTTATTTTTGGACTTAGAACAACGTGGGATTAAATTCCCTGAGTCCAGAAGGTTTTATTGGTGTTGAAAGTTTAGATAAAACCTGGGACACAGTTTCTGCAATATATGAATGCAAAGAAGAGCAAGACCTAAATTTTGAGGCTTTAAAGGCATGTTTGCTTAATGAAGAAGAAAAACGCCATTTTAGAAGCAGCTACGAGGAGGAGAAATTCCTGAGGAGGGGGTCCAGGCTGCAAGTCTCCAGAGAAGAAACAAGCAAATCGGACCCGGACCAAGTTGCAAAAAAAGAGAGATTTTGCAAGCAGAGAGCTTTGCAAGAAAAGAATTGCTACATTTGTGGAGCGAGCACACATATGAAAAGGAACTGTTTGCAGAGGAACAGTTTGCAGCAAAGGACATTTGTGCAACCAAAAAGGACTGCTTTGCAAAAGGAACATTTTGGTGTTGCAAAGGTTTGCTATAGCAACAACAGAGACAAGTGGCTAACAGATAGTGGGACAAGTCAAACAATTGTTAATGACTCTGAATTATTTTGCAGGTTTGTTCCAGTAGCACAAGAAGCTGTGGCTTTGGCAAATGGCCAGAAAGCAAAAGTCATTGGAAGAGGCGATGTAAAAATTCCATATTTGGAATCAAAGTTTACCAATGTGCTTTGTGTACCTGAGATGGAACATAATTTGTTAAGTGTGTCTAATTTAGACAAACAAGGTTTTGAGGTCATTTTTGTAAATGAGAAGTGTCTCATCAAAAGGAATGGGAATATTTGTGCAGAAGGCATAAAAGAAGATAATCTATATGTATTGCAGGGACAAAAGGTTCAATGTTCCCATATATTTAAGAATGTTGCAGAGCATGATTCATGTGTTCATCTTCTGCATAGAAGACTTGGCCATGCAAGCTTTAAAGTTTTGCAGCAAATGCAAGATTTTGCAGAAGGGTTAAATTTGAAGAGATGCAAAACATATTTGGACTGTGCAGTATGCAAAGCATCAAAGTCAAAGGCATTCCCAGTTAGTAAATGTAGCATAAGACAAACAAAAAGAGTTCTAGAGCTGGTCCATGCAGATCTGGTGGGACCTATGCAAGCCAGTTTGGGAGGAGCAAAATATGCACTGGTAATTGTTGATGATTATAGCAGGTATTCATTTTGCTATTTGCTTAGAGCAAAGACAGAGGTGCTACAACAATTCAAACAGTGGGTAAGTTTTGTAGAGAGAAGGTACAGACAACAAGTGTGTCAGTTGCAAACTGACAGAGGTACCGAATTTATGTCAACTAAATTCCAACAATGGTTGGGGCAGTT